GAGGGACAAGTCTTGGGATCATTTTCAATACGGGCGGGGCGACAGCCGTCTAGATGGATCCCGCCCGGTGTTTTGATTTAACTTTCCAGCATCACCGGCTTCTTTTAAATTTCATGTCTTCTCTTGCGGTCCACAAAATGGCATCTTATCCTTTATATATAATATTATATAGTATATATATATATATATATATATATATAGTATTTATATATATTATATATATATATATACTGTTGCTCATTTTGGAACGTTCGGCATTTTCCCGTCTCAGTTCAACCATTTTGTCCCGTCGTATGTTTTCCTCTCAATTGAGGACAATCGCAAGGTAACATCTCAGCCAGTTTCGTTTCTAAAGCGGCCGAGGTTGCCGTGTCAGCTCTTGACTACATGTCTGCCTGTAAGGTGGGAGGTGATGATTATGAATGAAATGGGAAATTTTGGATAAGCAAGCATGGAGCTGTGGTAGCATCAAAGCCTTCCAATAAACACATGGTGAAACACCCTCGCCGTTTGGTTAAATCGGTCACGTGTATTTTAAATATTGTTATCAAAAGTATCAGAGTTGCGAAGAGAAATTCACAATATTAATATTTGGAGACAGAAAACTTTTGATTTTAATACACAACAAAACAACTTTTATATCATGTTTTGGAATGATTGTTTTCAGTATTAGGGAGAACAATTGGTAAAACCATCTCAGCGATGTGGTTTGCGTTACGAAGAAAATAAATTCCTTTCTGTACTTAAAATGCTTATTTCTCCAAGTCAAGTACATATTAATCTGAAAGAGCAGTGTCGGATTAATGGGGGAAAATGTTGCTACAAGCAAACATTTTAATTCACGAGTGAATAAGATATACGTGAAATACAAAATGAGGCAAGGCAATTTAAAAAGTTGATAACCCTTCAGAAAACTCCCCAGCTATTCCCAATATTATTGCTTTCGAACGGTGGCAAGAATAGTTGCTATAGGACCTAAATTACATACATAGTTAATGTAGCACCTATTGTCCGCTGGTGATTTCATGAGCAAATCAAAATAACTACGTTGGTTCAGTGCTTTCTCACAAGATCTTTTGAAAAAAACAAACAACAAAGAACATGAACTCTGTTTAGTTTTGTTGAATGGAACTGATTAATTTGGATACTTATGATATTTTTTAAATCGATAATGTTTTTAGAATGAATATTTTTTTAAATTTTTTATTTTATTCCAAAAAACCAACGAAAATTTTCCCACTTTGGTTTTGGCAGAAAGTCTATACACGGCAATTACAAACAGTCCTTGGTGGTTTCAAAATTAAGAATTTAATAATCAAAGTCTAAAATTTGATTAAAGTTGTCAAATCGGTTTTTCAATTATACTTGTCGTTTTTGGTCAATTAGTCTGCAAAACTCATTTACTTGTTTCAAATTTCACAATAGAAGAGAACTTGGGAAACTTATGATAGATACACAAAGTGGCAAGGCACTACCTTCCAGAAGGTGACCACTTTTAACCATATTTTAAAAAATAATTGAATGCCTGCCATATCGATCAAACTCGTAGAAACTTGGCACGAAATGACTTAGCATACGGTGGATTAGAAACGCTAAATTATTTATTTATTTCCCTTGATTTTTTTTCTAAATCAGCTGAAAACATTTTTGTTATGTATACGATATAATAATAACTGAAACAGAGGTATTGTTTTGGTCCTCAGACATGTTCAGGGGTAAAATATCGATTAGATATTAATAAGTTGAGATTCCGACCACTGCCAAAAACTTTGCAATCTTCGTAGTCACTATGAAAGAAATCGGGGGTTGGAAATAAATCAATTGCCGTTTTAGCACGGGGATCTATTGAAGCAGAGTTATGCTAATTGACCTTTGAGTTTTTTACGGTAAGGAATAATTATTGTAGCCCAAGAATTCTGTGAAAACTCTACCAACCTTTTTTAACTAGGGGTTCACTAATAGTACATTTGACACTAGATGGGAATAAAAAAAATCAGAAATTCCTTTTCATTTATGGACATGTTGGCAGAGGGATGGGGCCGGATGACAGTTTCACCAAACCATTAATTGAAAAGTGCCAACCGCCCCAAACGGAATTGTTCGATTAAAAGACGGCCGTAATGTGAAAAAGTGGGGATTCAAATTTAAATAAACTGATTACGTGAAATCAGAGGCTTGGTTGAACTTTTCAGCTGAAAGAGAGAGAGAAACAAAATCTTTCTTTCCAAATATCACAAAAGAAATTAATGAACTACGAAACTCTTGAATGTAAACACCATTATGATCCCATCATTATACACGTCATGCTCAATAATTTCAAGCATATCATAAGCGAGACTTCTGTGGAAGTCTTTTTAGGTTCGTGAAGGACAACGTGACATAAACTAAGGGGGCGTTATGGAGAGTTTGGTAGCCGATGTAAGAAGCTGAATGCAACGCATCCCCCGTCTCCCCAATAATTCAAAATAATTCGTGAAAATTTTAGTATGGAAAACCTCGGTACAAGTAAAAAAAAACATTGTGAGTGTTTTTTTTTTTTTTAATTTTCGATTGTCTTCATTATGAAATGAATTATAAAACTTTAAACAACGAGCTACTCAATAGCATGTTAGCTAAGATCCAGCGTGGAACAGACATACTCTTTTACATTTGTTTTTTGATATATTTTAGCTGAAAACAAGCGAAAAATGATTTTTGGTGTTTCATCTTTTCAACCTGTGAGAAAAAACACATCGCACGACCTCTGTTCTGCTTCCCCGTGGCCTGGGCTCCGAATTAAAGCTAAGGAAACTCAACTACGAGAATCCTTTTTTCTTTTTATTAGGCTTCTACCTCCACAACCAAAAATTTCACAACTTGGTTTTACTGTTTGAATTTATGTCATGGCTCATTTGAAGTGGTCGGAGCGCTCGATTCCGCAGGTATTCTTTTTGTAGGTCGAGAAGGGGGCGAACGAATATCATTTTACCAGTCCGTCCTGGGTCAGAGCCAGTAACAACATTGGGTCCTCTCGACAGCTATTAATTAGACCACCCAAATATCAATTACTTTCCTAATTTTACTCCAGTTTCAATCAGCAGAACACGTGTGTTGTCACGTTATTAGAATATAACATAAAATATAACATCCACACACGGCTGCAATATACAACAGCTTAAGCATGCGTGCACTAAAACCATTCCAAAATGGGTAAGCAAGTAATAACAACATTCTATCAGTAGTTTTGGAATTTACGTTTCAACTCCTTAACTTCATATTGCCAGAGAGGCGTTTTACGAAAAATAATATCTGAAGTATCATTGAATCATACGAAAGGCTCGTGTGTTTTGGCAGCGCCTGACAGTGTTTAGCCCCTCAGACTTAATAGGAATTCGGTGGGCCACACAAAGCGTTTCATTCAAAGCATATTAGAGACAAATGAGTTATTTAGTGAAACTAACTGTGGGAAGGACACGTGTCATCGGGGAAGGACTCACGCCAGGCGAGTTCTGCGCAACATGGGGCGCTCAACGACAACGAACGTGGCCTCCTGTTTTCACCTGCCTCCAGGCCCGCGTGGCAGCGCCGCTGGCTAATGGGTAACAGTGCTGGCTCCCAGCTCGTGTTGTGTTTAGTGCTTAGACGGTTTAGTGTTTTAGCCTGGAGTCTTAACGGGCGTGCCATTTGTGGCGCAACGCAAGCCGGCCGCCCGCTTAAGTCCTTCGCTCGATATTCCAGAACTGCAGCCAGGTCGGGCGCTTGTGGATGGTGAGCCCCCCCCCCCTCCGGGTCGGCGAATTGCGCCCTCACACTCCCCTCCCCCTCCTGTGCCTTCTGCAGCCCGGCCGCGCCGCGCATCCTCGGACCCCGCCCCCGCCCCCGCCCCCGCCCCGCGGCCTCAGCCTACTGGCAACCGCATCGTCCGGGGCACACACTCACGTTTCATCGTCCGGCGACTATGCAGCTTAGGCCAGCCAAGTTTAAATTTCGATCCGACCGCACGATAAGACACAGAAAAACGCCTTTTGACAAGCGAGCATGGAGTAATTTTAAATCTTTGCCATTTACGACGTTCGAGGAGCAGCATTGCATTTGTTAGCGATTAAGCGAAGGAAAATTAAATAGATCAAACGAAAGAATGCTCTCATGGGTAGCCGCAAACATCTTAAGCGGTTTTCAAAATTCAATAAATGATTTCTCAAAAC